GGGAATCTCCAGTGGAAATCTCTATTGGGAATCTCCAGTGGAAATCTCCAGTGGGAATCTCCAGTGGGAATCTCTATTGGGAATCTCCAGTGGGAATCTCTATTGGGAATCTCCAGTGAGAATCTCCAGTGGGAATATCCAGTGGGAATCTCCAGTCAGAATCTCTACTGGGAATCTCCAGTGGGAATCTCTATTGGGAATCTCTATTGGGAATCTCCAGTGAGAATCTCCAGTGGGAATATCCAGTGGGAATCTCTATTGGGAATCTCCAGTAGGAATCTCTAGTGGGAATCTCTATTGGGAATCTCCAGTGAGAATCTCTATTGGGAATCTCCAGTGAGAATCTCCAGTGGGAATCTCCAGTGAGAATCTCCAGTGGGAATCTCTATTGGGAATCTCTATCGGGAATCTCCAGTGAGAATCTCCAGTAACACTATCCAGTGGGAATCTCTATTGGGAATCTCCATTGGGAATCTCTATTGGGAATCTCCAGTGAGAATCTCTATCGGGAATCTCCAGTGGGAATCTCTATTGGGAATCTCTATTGGGAATCTCTATCGGGAATCTCTACAGGTGCTGGTCAACGAATTAGAATTATTTTAAATAGTGCAATCATGAAATTCTTTGAATGCATTTTTTGTGCAGAAAGCAAATCAGGTGTTCACCGCACCTGTCCTACTCGTTAGACTAATCACAGAACTCGTTATCTGGAAAAAAATTTGCTCAGCTGAGCTTTCCAAAAGGCCCATTTAGGCCATTTAACTGTGACACTGTTGTTTTATTGAATTAGAATAATGGTGAAAGCGTTTCATTGAATTAGAATAAATGCTCAAATTTTTGTTTTCTGTGAAGAGTGTTCACTGTGCAGTATAAAGTCAGGGTTGAGTAGAATTTCTAAGTTGTAAAATCAATCATGGGTAAGCAGCGCGACCTCTCAACCGGAATAGTGGCTCAAATTCAAGCCCTTCGCCAACAAGGCTTGACCCAAACTAAAATTGCTGAGCAGCTCGGCATCAGCCAGTCTTCCGTCTGCAAAGCTCTCAAGAAAAACTGCAGCAAGCGCACCAACTGTTCCGGCGTCCGAAAAACTTCTGCTCGCGACAACAAGCAGCTGAGAAAGATCGCAGTCAGCAACCGGTTCAAGTCCACTTCCGAGCTCACCGACTTGTGGAACAAGCAGACCGGCGCTGACGTCTCCAGATCAACCACTTACCGTCGTCTGCGCGAACTCGGCTTCAAATCTCGCGTTCCAGCAGTAAAACCGATGCTGAACAAGAAACAAATGGTGAAACGGCTGAAGTGGGCCAAAGAACACGGCGAGTGGACTGCTGAAGACTGGCAGAAAGTGGTCTTCAGTGACGAATCACGCTTCTGCATCTCCTTCGGTGACCAAGGTCCTCGTGTCTGGCGTCGTGGTGGCGAAACCTACAACCACGAGTGCGTGAAAAGATCCGTCAAGTTTCCCCAGAGCGTTATGGTCTGGGGATGCATGTCCGCTCGAGGTGTAGGGAAACTCTGCTTCCTCAAGAAGACTGTCAATGCTGCCGTATATCAAGATGTTCTGGAAACGTTCCTGATTCCGACTGTTGAGGAACAGTTCGGCGAAGAAGACTTCATATTTCAACAGGATCTTGCACCGGCTCATGCGGCAAAGTCGACCAAAGATTGGTTCACTAAAAAACAGCTTGAAGTTTTGGCATGGCCGGCCAACTCGCCTGACCTCAATGTCATTGAAAGCCTTTGGGCCATCGTCAAGCGGTAAATTCGCGACAGAAAGCCTACTACGCTGGACCAACTGAAGCAGAACATCGCCACTGCCTGGGAAGCTGTGAGTGCGGAAACTTGCGACAAGCTGGTCAAATCGATGCCGCGGAGACTTCAGGCAGTCATACAAGCCAAAGGGGCAGCCACAAAATACTGAGAAAGTGATGATTGTAATTATAATAAAAATTATTGCAATTCAATGAAACGCTTTCACCATTATTCTAATTCAATAAAACAACAGTGTCACAGTTAAATGGCCTAAATGGGCCTTTTGGAAAGCTCAGCTGAGCAAATTTTTTTCCAGATAACGAGTTCTGTCATTAGTCTAACGAGTAGGACAGGTGCGGTGAACACCTGATTTGCTTTCTGCACAAAAAATGCATTCAAAGAATTTCATGATTGCACTATTTAAAATAATTCTAATTCGTTGACCAGCACCTGTATTGGGAATCTCCAGTGGGAATCTCTATTGGGAATCTCCAGTGGGAATCTCCAGTGGGAATCTGTATTGGAAATCTCCAGTGGGAATCTCTATTGGGAATCTCTATTGGGAATCTCCAGTGGGAATCTGTATTGGAAATCTCCAGTGGGAATCTCCAGTGGGAATCTGTATTGGAAATCTCCAGTGGGAATATCTATTGGGAATCTCTATCTGGAATCTCCAGTGGGAATCTCTATTGGGAATCTCCAGTGGGAATCTCTATTGGGAATCTGTATTGGAAATCTCCAGTGTGAATCTCTATTGGGAATCTCCAGTGAGAATCTCTATTGGGAATCTCCAGTGGGAATCTCTATTGGGAATCTCCAGTGGGAATCTGTATTGGAAATCTCCAGTGGGAATATCTATTGGGAATCTCTATCGGGAATCTCCAGTGGGAATCTCTATTGGGAAACTCCAGTGAGAATCTCCAGTAACACTCTCCAGTGGGAATCTCTATTGGGAATCTTCAGTGAGAATCTCTATTGGGAATCTCCAGTGAGAATCTCCAGTGGGAATCTCTATCGGGAATCTCCAGTGGGAATCTGTATTGGGAATCTCCAGTGGGAATCTCTATCGGGAATCTCCAGTGGGAATCTGTATTGGAAATCTCCAGTGGGAATCTCTATTGGGAATCTCCAGTGGGAATATCCAGTGGGAATCTCTATTGGGAATCTCCAGTGGGAATCTGTATTGGAAATCTCCAGTGGGAATCTCTATTGGGAATCTCCAGTGAGAATCTCTATTGGGAATCTCCAGTGGGAATCTCTATTGGGAATCTCCAGTGGGAATCTGTATTGGAAATCTCCAGTGGGAATATCTATTGGGAATCTCTATCGGGAATCTCCAGTGGGAATCTCCAGGAACACTCTCCAGTGGGAATATACAGTGCACCCTCACACAAGTGGGACCGTTTCAAATCTGCCACTCAAAATAACGTCAAACCGGATCAAACAACTGTCTGTGGCCCAAAGGCACAGGAATCATATACCAAATATAAAAAATATATATATTTCTGCCATCTGATTGAGTTTATTATTATTATTATTATTATTATTTTTATTTAACCAGGAAGGTCCTGTTGAGACACAACATCTCTTCTACCAGGGAGTTTAAAACATCCGTGCTCAGCATGTTCACTCGCAACTGTAAAAATCCTGAAATACAAACTCTAAAACTCACATGACTTGCATTTCACTCCACATGTCCATTTCATTGACCTTTGAACTCTAAACATCCCGTTCATCATCACTTGCATCGTCATCATCAGTGATTGACAGCTGTCAGTCATGAGTGCAAACACATTCCAGCCCTACACACACTATTGCTTTCCTCACTGCTGCTCATCTCATTTCTTTGCACCATTTCAAGGAATCCGTTTGTTAGGAACGAATTGTTGTGTTTCAGCTCAACCGTTTCTGGTTTAATGTTCATTATCTCCAGGAGGAGGAGGAGCTAATGCTGCAGATGGACGAGTGCGGCGTGAACAAGTCTGGTGTTGTTTAACAACCATCATCTGGCTCAGTGTAGTCCACTAAAGATGGTAAGTTTGGCTTAAAAAACAAATTTAATTGAAAAACTGAAGAAGAAAAAAAGAAAAACTGCAGTGTGAGTTTAAAAGATTCAAGCTGGTGTTGAACAGCATATATGAACACATACTCAAGGTGTTCTGGTGTGAATCATTAACAAGAACCGGTTCAGAAGAACCATGAATCAGGCATCAGACGTTCCTCCATCTCAGATCTCTGTACATCATCACTCACACACTCACACACACACACACACACACACACACACACACACACACACACACACACACTCTCATGGCGTTTCTGTCAGTGATCTCTGAGGTTATTAAGGCACATTGAGGCTGAACACACAAACGCCCAAAACTAGTGCAAATCTGATGCACAACCGATCCTGGGCAGAGTCGTGTCTGAGCGGTGCTGATGCTGAACACCACACACACACACACACACACACACACACACACACACACACACACACACACACACACACACACACACACACACACACACACACACACACACACACACACACACACACAGACTGAGCGCTGACGTGTGCGCTAGCAGAGTTTGTGTTAGCTAGTCTCGGACAGCCCACACATGCATATTGCACTTAAAACCACGAGAGCCTTCCAAAAATCACAAGCTCTAATCTGATTGGACGAGCAACAGTCAGTGTGTACGAAACTCAAGATGACACGACGAACGATAACCGTAACGATACATTAGCAGCCACACCAGCCGACGAATCCTGTATCGCTATAGTTATCATTCCTTTACGGTCACTGGCTGCGTTTACAGGCTCAGCTTGTGTTCCAGCCGCACTGAACTCAAGCGACTGATGAATCTGAGCGCAGTGTTTACATGAGCGCTGAACATGTGATCGGGGCGATGTGTGTGTTTATATGTCACACGCTTCAAATCAAGATAGATGTTTTTGACATGCGCTCACTGCACGAATATACAGAGACTACCGATGTAATAACTATTCTCTACATTACTTCTTTATTTGTTTTAAACAGCAGACTTAATATTTATCCATTTCTGGTCATAATTTGGAGAAAATTTCTACATCATTGCGCTATTTCTACATCATTGCGCATGCGCAGTCTTTCAGTTTCGGTTTTCACTCTGATCAAGTGTTCACATGTTCTCTCGATCGGATTAGAAAAGGAATAAACCGCCGCTTTCAATCCGATGGAAATCGGGATCGAGCTCAATCGGATCGATGAAGGCGTTTACATGAAGGCTTTCAGTGCGATTGAGCCGCCAGTCCCATGACTAACGGGTGATTTGGTAGCATGTAAACGTAGCCAGTGACGCTCTCTTCCTGTCCCGAAGTGGGCGGTTCTAGTCCAGAATAAACTCTTTCTACTGATAGTCTGACTACATGAGACTCTGTGAACTAACTCACTAACCCCTCAAAACAACAGCTAGTATTCATGACATCATCAGACGGGCGTTTCTTTGCTCTTCAGGTCCGGGGCGCTGTACTGGCGTCTCATGCGCGGCGGGGTGACGTAGCCCTGTGGTTTTTGGTGTTTGCCGTGCGGTTGATCGGTGAGCGCGTGCGGTGGGGGCCGTTGGTGATTGACGTACCCCCCCTCCCCGCGTACGCAAGGGCCCGGCGACTGTTGCCGATGGCGACCGCGGTTGTTGTTGTTGTGGTGCCCGTTGGTATAATAACCCTGGTTGCCAGGTATGGTGGAGCCATCAAGCGAATTGCGCCTGTGGCGCCATTGTTGTTGCTGAGGAACGTGATTGCCGTTGCCGTAGTTACCGTTGCTGTAGTGACGAGGTTGCCAGGGGCGACTGGGGGAAGGCGCGCGCATGATGACCGGCATTTGGAACGGAAGAGGAAGTAACGGCACGCCGGGGGCGGGGCCTCGTTCCTCGTCTGGCGCGACGGACACGTTCGGCCCCCAGGAGAGCCGGTGCTGAGGGTTGCTCTTAAAGGGGAACTTCAGCTTGCAGTCCTGAGGGGGAATGAAGCGTCCCGTTCCGGGGAGGTGGACCACGCCCTCCCCACCCATAGCCCCGCCCCCGGCCCCGCCCCCTCGGCGCAAGCGCTTGGTGATTTGCTGCTGCTGCAGGTTGAGGAGGCGTGTCTGCTCCTGTTTGAGCCAGCGCATTCGGCCCCTCCTGAAGGCGGGGTCTTCCTCCATCAGCCGTGACACGCGCTGCTCTTTGGGGAGGAGCTCTAGATGGCCACGCCCATCTTCCTCATCACCGTCTGCGCTCAGATCCTCTGATTCATCATCGTCCTACACAAACACATACACAACTACTGAACACTGTGTGTGTGAATGCATGTGTGTGTCAGTGGCTATGTTTCCATTGTTTTTATGCGCATTTTGAAGTATCGCATCAGAAACCAGTGATGGAGATTTACGCTTTAAGCTGGAAGTGGTTTTTGACTTGTGCGAAAAAGAGTTAAAAGGATAGTTCACCCAAAAATTCAAATTAGCCCAAGATTTACTCTCCCTCAGGTCGTCCTAGGTCTCCGTGTGTCAGTGTGTGTGTGTGTGTTCACCTGCACTGCTGGTATGATGCTCTCCATCTTCATCATCCGGTCTCTGAGGGCTTTGATCTCCTCGTCCTTCGTGTTGTTCTGCTCTTTGACCTCTTGTAAGATATCGGTCAGTTTGTCGATGTGAGCTTTCAGGTCGTACACGCCTCTCTCTCCGTCAGCGTGTGTGTGTGTGTCCTGGCGCCCGTCCCCGATGCCCACCGTGTCCCACACGTCCTGAGCCACGTCCCTCCACGCCTCCTTCTCCTCCTCCTCGTCCCGCCGCCCGCACATCTGCAACACTCCTGTAACCCATCATATTCACATCAATACAGTCCCAGCGATGCTGCTCTATCGCGAGAGCTTCCTCTCGAGACGCACACACAACCGTAAATACATAACGTAAATATATATATATATATAAAAAACATGTGTGAGTGAGTGAGGCTTAAGCGTGAACATAAACGAGGAGATTTCTCAAGGTTTAGATTTTTTTGCACCTCAAGATTCCAGATTTTCAATAGTTGTATCTCGGCTAAATATTGTCCTATGCTAACAAACCATACATCAACGGAAGGATCATTTATTCAGCTTTCAGATGACGTATAAATCTCCATTTGATCAGGTCCTGTGGTCCGGGGTCACAGCTGAGAGGATGACGAGTGTGCGTACCGTACATGCGGCTCAGCTCCTTCATCTTCACCACGGCCAGCGCCTCCACCTCGCGGCGCGAGTGCCGGAAGTCGGCGAGCGCCACCTCGTAGCAGATCTCCTTCACCGCCTGCAGCTTCAGGTCGCTCAGCGTCACGCGCTCGGGGGCTTTGCTGATGCGCCGCCGCTGCGGGATCTGGTACACACGCAGAGGCTCACGCCGCTTCCCACTGCTGGGTAACCCACAGCGCTTCACGATGGACTGGACCTGCACACAGCACTGAGGCTTAGAGGAGGAGTGTGTGTGTGTGTGTGTGTGTGTGTGTGTGTGTGTGTGTGTGAGGGAGTGTGTGTGACCCACAGCGCTTCACGATGGACTGGACCTGCACACAGCACTGAGGCTTAGAGGAGGTGTGTGAGTGTGTGTGTGTGTGTGTGTGTGTGTGTGTGTGTGTGTGTGTGTGTGAGGGAGTGTGTGTGACCCACAGCGCTTCACGATGGACTGGACCTGCACACAGCACTGAGGCTTAAGGCCTCATTATGCTTCTGCGTCAACTCCACGGCGTCGTGGCCGTTTTATAGTTCTGCGTCAGGTTGCGTTGCATCGCGGTGCATTTCACCGCCAGAACGCTAGGGTGGTGTGTGCTTCGCGAATCTCTTTGCTAGTTTGTTTTGGTTCCGTGTGCCGGTTCCGCTTTCGTTTCCATTACCCTTCAAATTGCGCAAATTGAAATTGTGAATTGAAAATACGCACAATGGAACCACGTCCATTTCGCAAAAACTCCCGTTTATCGCAAAAAAAGATTTTACGCTCGCATGAGGAGGTTTTTCAGGCAATTCGAAAAAGGAATATTTAGCAAAACTGCAATGGAAGGTTTTGCGCATTTACAGTCACCTGATTTAGAAGACGCGGTGCGTTTTGGGTCCGTGTCCGCAAATAATAATAAAAATTATCATCATTATTATAACATTTATTAGGCTACATATGTAGAAGACGCTTTTATCCAAAAAAGGAACAAAGCAATTCGTCACATCTCATTCAAAATACAGGTTGGACAATAATAATACGGGGCTAAGATTATCAGAAATAAACACAAGATTTTGACGCATATCCAAGTGTGTGTGTGGAGCGCGCACTGGATGGCGCGCGGGCGCGAACACTTGCATTTCCCTATCAACAGTGGAAACTACTTAAAATACTCTATAATTTCTGGTCATACAGAAAATAATAATACATTATTCGCAACTACTTTTATTTGCGTAAACTCACAATAACAACAAAACTTTGTGGTTTTGTAAAATAAAATAAAACAATCAGGCGCGCTTCATGATCTCCGTGAACTAAAGCGCGAGAACTGAAACAAAATATCGCCTCCGTAGGCTAAAGCTTAAAATGTCCACTTTAAAACGAACAAACTCGAATCGAAGGCTAATACCTTCTGATTATGTAATCCGTATGAAAGGTGCATTTCTCTCTAAAGGTGCATCCGGAGATGGAGATATGTTTTTAGCCGACACTGATTTAGAAAACAATAGTTTATTAATAAACAATTAAACTGCCTCGTTATTTTTTCAGACACATTTATAGCCTATAACTCACCTATAAATCACCTTTCTGTAGGCTGTGGTTATATGGCTCTTCTCATTCAGCACTGCGGGAAAAATATAAATTCCAGGTTCTAATTTGGCCTTAGAAAATCAGTAAAATCGACATTTTTTCCATATTAATTTGTGAATATTTTAAATGTTTAATAAAGGAGCAAAAAATCATAAACAAATAGGCTATCTTAAAATTAATCGATTTTTTTTTTTTTTTTTTTTTCGCAGCATTTGGTGTACAGTTAATATAAAAATTTTGGTGTTTAACTTTGCGTTTAAAAAATACAACAACCGTTCATTTTTCGTTTTGCAATTACGGGTTAAATAAGGGAAAACGAATGGACACAAAAGTAGGCTACACTGACCGTTTGGAATTATTACGAGACAGAGTTCTTTATTAAATTCATAAAAGAAACAATTACAGGAATAGCCTGCTGGACTCTAAACCTCAAAGAAAGGCCACAATCAAGACCTCGGAGCAGAAATGAGGGAGAACTCTGTGTCTTTCCCTGCCATCAATGCTTGGATAACACACCACGTCTCCTTCCATTAATAATAATAATGGCTATAGTGACACAAGCTATACATCTTCCTTTTGGAAACATTGGACCCAAAGCCTGTATATGTTCTATAAATGATGCCTCATCCGCATCATTCTTAATTGTTTTGTATTGTTTTTACATTTATATCTGTACTGTGTTGTCTCTGGACCTCTGTGTCTTGAATAAAAGTTGATATAGGCTATAACGTTAAACCTACCAACGTCCGTTACCATGATTTTTGGAATGGCTTATGGCGAGAGGAAAAAAAGACGATTTAGTCGCATAACATTGGTTATGGAAACGCCGTCATTTCGCAATAGTTTTTTATCGACATACAGAAAAAAAAAATCGCAAAAGTTTTGCGCAAATCTGTAATGGAAACGCGCCTGATGGCGAGCGAAAGAGAGAGAATGTTGTTGCAGCTGGAGGAGCTAATCGACGTTGAACAACAAATGATTTTATTGCAAATGTTTAATCGCAGAAGAATCAAACGTTCCTCAACTTGATATCGTTAAAACAAACAGTGCAGTGGTCACTTTAAAAATGGCGGTATAGCGGGAGGGGGAAACTGGAAAAGCTTCACTCCCGAAATGATGTATCTGACCAATCACAGCCCTTGTGGTCTGCGTTGCCTCGACGCGTAGTTACAATTTTTTGGAGGTGCACGTCGAGCTACGGCGGAGGGGTCGGAGAGGGGTTCGCGGCGACGCAGAGAGGTCTGCGGGGGTACGCCATCGATTCGACGCAGAAGCATAAAACAGGCTTTAGAGGAGGCGTGTGTGTGTGTGTGTGTGTGAGTGTGTGTGTGAGTGTGTGTGTGAGTGTGTGTGTGTGTGTGTGTGTGAGTGTGTGTGTGTGTGTGAGTGTGTGTGAGTGTGTGTGTGTGTGTGTGTGAGTGTGTGTGTGTGTGTGAGTGTGTGTGAGTGTGTGTGTGTGTGTGTGTGTGTGTGTGTGTGTGTGTGAGAGTGTGTGTGTGTGTGTGTGTGAGAGTGTGTGTGTGTGTGTGTGAGAGTGAGTGAGTGTGAGTGTGTGTGAGTGTGTGAGTGTGTGTGTGTGTGTGTGTGTGTGTGTGTGTGTGTGTGTGAGTGTGTGTGAGTGTGTGAGTGTGTGTGAGTGTGTGTGTGTGTGTGTGTGAGTGTGAGTGTGTGTGAGTGTGTGAGTGTGTGTGAGTGTGTGTGTGTGAGAGTGTGTGTGTGAGTGTGTGTGTGTGAGTGTGTGTGAGTGTGTGAGTGTGTGTGTGTGTGTGTGTGTGAGTGTGTGTGAGTGTGTGTGTGTGAGAGTGTGTGTGTGAGTGTGTGTGTGTGAGAGTGTGTGTGTGAGTGTGTGTGTGTGAGTGTGTGTGAGTGTGTGAGTGTGTGTGTGTGTGAGTGTGTGAGTGTGTGTGTGTGTGTGTGTGTGTGTGTGTGTGTGTGTGTGAGTGTGTGTGAGTGTGTGAGTGTGAGTGTGTGTGTGTGTGTGTGTGTGTGTGTGTGAGTGTGAGTGTGTGTGAGTGTGTGAGTGTGTGTGAGTGTGTGTGTGTGAGAGTGTGTGTGTGTGTTTGTTTTTGTGATATATGAGGACACAAATGTGTATAATGACATGCATATTACACTGGTATTACAACTTACACGTAATATATGAGGACATTGCATGAGTCCTCATATTTCAAATAGCTTAAAAAACATAAAAAACAATGTTTTTTTTTAAATGTAAAAATGCAGCATGTCTCCTGTGATGGGCAGGTTTAGGGATGGGGCAGTGTAGGGGGATAGAATATACAGTTTGTCCAGTATAAAAATCATTACGCCTATGGAATGTCCTCATATATCACAAAAACAAAGCTGTGTGAGTGTGTGTGTGTGAGTGTGTGTGAGTGTGTGAGTGTGTGTGTGTGTGTGTGTGTGAGTGTGTGTGAGTGTGTGTGTGTGTGTGTGTGATACCTTGATAGCTGGTAGTTTCTCTCTCAGGGAGGAAATGAGTCTCCAACTCTCTTCACATGAGCGTTTATCAGAATCATCTCCACTGTCTGAATCAGCATACTGAACACACACACACACACACACAGAGAAAATTCAGCTTTGATCACAGGGATAAATTACACTGTACTATATATTCACAGAGAACAGCTGATTTACACTGGAGTAATATTACACTGTTTTACTATATTTTGATCATATGAACGCAGCTTCGGTGAGCAGAAGAGTGTGTGTGTGTGTGTGTGTGTGTGTGTGTGTGTGTGTGTGTCTCACCAGCCGCTGCTGCTCCAGGAGTAGATCTGCTTCCTCTTTCTCCCGCCGATACTGCGTCTCCACATCTTGCAGCCTGAGGCAGATGTGCACAGAAGTGAGCTAACCCTGTCCGAACCTCTCAAAAACTACACATATTTCAACTCGAATAAATATTTTATGTCTAATTATTTACTAATTGTACATGGACCCTCTGGTGCTGGTCAGTCATTAAAAATAAAATAAAAATTTCTTTACTTCATCAGACTGATACGAAACTTGGTAACGGTTTTGCACTTGCAATGTCAACACACACACACATACACACACACGCACTGACACACACACACACACACACACACACACACGTTAATGATTTGAAAAGTTAAATGGTCACACTTATGCTGTTCATGGGAGACGGGTTTCCTCTAGTGGAAGCGTTCGGTACTGCAGACACACACACACACACACACACACACACACTGAACGCTCATATCAACCCCAAATAAATCTTATGAAAACGCCAAATTCAAAATTAGAATATTGTGAAAAGGTTATCATAAGCTGTAAGCCATAATCATCACAATTATAACAAATAAAGGCTTGAAATATCTCATGTAATGAGTCTATATAATATATTAGTTTCACCTTTCAAGTTGAATTACTGAAATAAATGAACTTTTGCACGATATTCTAATCGAGTTGCATGTTGAATATTAGGAGCGTGTGCAGTTATTTTTGTAGTATAAGTTTTTCCCTTTAACTTGCAACTCATAAGGTGTGCGTTTGCTTTGCTGTTGTTTTGAGGAACTAATATAATTAACAAAAGGAACCTTTTTGTAAAGAGTTCCCTAAAAACTCTCATAAAAAATAGAATGAAGTGTTTTTAAACTGTAAAAATGCTGTGTTCTGTTATGCACCAGGAAACTAAAATTATTAATGCAATATTGCAGTGTTTAATGTAATGATTTATGGGTGCACATCATTATTGTGTTAATAATGTTGAATGAGAATCAGTTCCTCTTGCAGCATCTCTTCTCTTCTCTGATGATGTGGGCGGGGCTTTAACCTGTCACTCACATCAGATCAGCCAATAGCAAACCACAACCAGCCAATCAGCTCCCCACAGACACAGTCAAGCCCCGCCCACATGTGTTCTCCTTCCAGAAGCGCTTCACTCGATATACGGCACCACCGCTGAGTTCAAGGCTCGAGGGCGGGGAATCTGCGGACCTCACGATTCGATTCGGATCAATTCTCGATTTTGAATCAAATTTCGATTCGATGTGTGCATAGATTTGATTGTAGTTTACCGTTTTGTGTTACTTGTCTTATTTGACTGCGGTAGACGGTTTAATAGGTCTAGAAGAAAAACGATTAAATGTGAACCTTGAAATTTATTTAGTTTTTTTACACATTTTAGTCAACCGAATAAAACTAACGTCCTTTAAGCTGACTGCAATCATAACACACAGCCTTCTGTAATAAAGCAAGGCAGGCAATTAAGATTTTAGATTACTTAAAAATAGGATCAAAGATGCAAATTACAAACAATAGGACAAATATAATAGAAAAATCTACAAATTAAATAAATTTTAAGTTTTTCAGGAACATTAGCATAGGTTTATTAAACATGTAGTAAGAAATACTACCGGAATTGAATAATCAAAAGTAAAAAATAAAACACTGTACAGTCTACACTGTATGAATTAAATATAAATTGATTCATATTAAAGATAAAGAAGTGATCCAGTCAAAAGCAGTGAGTGTTTTTATTAAGAGTTTATGAGGCTGCTGGCCCTTTAAGAGTGAACGCACGGATCTAATATACTGTTACACATCTGATTACTCCCATGTTTCCGCATAACAGACTCTGTTTACATGGAGTACTCCACATGTGCAGTTAGAGACGATCGTGTGTGTGTGTGTGTGTAGCTGTGGCAGAGAACTGAACTCGTGTATCATCCGTGTGTATCACCAGTGTGTGTGTCATCCGTGTGTATCACCAGTGTGTGTGTCATCCGTGTGCCGCACCTCCTCTGCATCTCCAGCTTGATGTCGATGCCCTGCTCCTCCAGGAGCTCTCTCTGGGCGTAGTTCCAGTCCGCCGGCTCCCCCTGCTGGTCCAGGCTCCGCTCGCGCTCCACGCGCGCCTGCTCCGGGTGGTTGAACCGGAACACGTGGTTCTTGCCCATCACCACGCGGTTTCCTGCGACACCATAGGTTGAGCTCAGGGTCATGTGATCACGAGGACAGCGGGCTCACACATAAGGGGCAGTTCTAGAAAGAGTCACCAGGGCGTTTCCCCGAGAACTAACGGTTCCCTCAGGAGCGTGTCCTGGCTGCGTTCGCACCGCCGGCGGGAGCTCTGAGTGACGCCAGACACGCTGAGACTTTTACTTTGACGACGGTGAGAACGACCGATCTCCTGTTCATTAGTGTACGATCTGTCGAATATGTAATTAGATAGAACTGTTATACACAGAAAGTAGACAGTAATGAAAAGTTATGGTAACACTTTATTTCTATAGTCCACTTTAGTACTTTAGAGTAACTTTGCAGCTACATGTCAGCTAACTGTCATTAGAGTATGAGTAGCCTGTGCTTAATATCTGCTAACTCTTTACTGTGATGCTCCTCAACAGATATTCTACTGACTATAAGTAACTTGGCAACTACAAGTCAACTTATTCTCCTAACCCGAACCCTATCAGTCTAGAGTCTACTGATACTCTAATGAGAGTTAGCTGACATGTAGTTGAGAAGTTACTTATAGTTAGCAGAATGTCTAAAGTGGACTATTGAAATAAAGTGGAACCAAAGTGATTAGCGTACGGCGTGTGATGTCCACATCATCATGTTTCGCCTCAGTCGCGTTGGATTGTCTCCTCGGCGTAAAGGTTAAGAGGCTTGTTCATGTTCGTAGAGTTAGTTTCTGGAGTAAATATATAGGCTATAATCTGTGTGTTTACACAGGCTTTTTTAAATGGCGAGTGCTGGTGTTTCGCATGTGTTCGGCCAATCAGCGAACACTACCGTCACTGTAGTTCCTCTAGCGCTGGTTTAGAGCGACTCTGGAGGAGTAAATCAGTTCCCCCAGAAGAGTTCCCAGTTCCTGCGGTGCGAACACGCCAAACTCCGGCGGAGCGATGAAGAGGCTAAACACACTCACCCTGTTTGAGCAGCACACACTCGCTGATCTGCTTGCCGTTGACGTACGTCTCGGCTCCCTCCAGCGGCTCCAGAGTCACACACACTACACACACACAGAAAGTGAGGGATCTGCATGAGCACGGTGTTATGATGTATGCGGTATGCTGATGAGGGGGGCGGGGCTCCTCCCTAAAGAGGGGCGGGGCTCACAGGGAGGTCACACCTGTTCATCTGTTATAAATCTGATGTTTTGCTTTGTGTACCCCTTGCACTCCCTAATTCGGTGTTTCCGGGTCAAAACGACCCGCCTTTTTAAAACTGCTCATAAATCTATGGTTATGCTGTATTATCACCAAATATTAGATTCAATCTTTTTGTCAGCTTGTTTTCTGTCAATTAGCACAGGTTTTGTATTTATTTTTGGAGCCGGTTGATCGTGGATTTCAGTGTTATAATAGATCACTAAAGCTTGTTCACCAGATCAATGAGGACTGCGGTCAACCAGCTCCAAATCCGGTGCTAAAAGAAAGAAAGCAAGTTGATAAAAAGATTAAATCTAATATTTGGTGAA